TCAGCCGTTTGTTCAGAAAACTATTGATACAGTCAACTCAAAATAGTATAACTAGTATGGTATATAAATTTATTTTTATTGAGTAAATAAGTTATACTTTTAAATTTCTTAACAGTATATCTGTATAATATATATTATACAAAGTGTAATTATTAGAATGCATTACAAGTACGATGTAAAAACGTATATAATGTATACATAAAACATAGTCTAAAAGGCTACAATAAAAAAAAAAAAAAATTTTTTATGTTATAATTTAATTTTTATAACTTATTAATCTTAAAAACTCGAAGGTTAAAATAAACCTTGCAGTTTATTTATTTTTTTTTTGAGCTTTCTTATCCTTAATGGACTTAATTCACGCTGAATATTTTTAGATCGTGTGTATTGTGCTAGTATTCTATTTACAATCTATTTTTTATTTAAAATACGTTATATGCAATCAGAATGTTTATTTAATTTTACTAATCACAAAAAAAACAGTTTTTCATATAACTATTTTTCATAAACTGAAATCAAGATATAAAAAAGGAAATAAGGCCACTTTTGGCCGTAATCGGGCGATGACTCTTATTTCGAGTCATTGAAGCTGTGGTTTAATCGTTTATGCATATCGCAATATTATATTATCAATGAAAAACAATTTATAAATAATAAAAGTACTATAGGCCTCTGCTACTTATTCCGTTGCTCGTTTTGCTCGCCAACCCTCCTAAGTTTAGCCACAAAAATAAGTACAAAGTATTAGTCTAAAATTCATGAAATCTAGAAAAAAAATCACGAAGCACTGACCAACATTTAATTTAAGTTACTACTAAGTAATGAATAATAATTATGTAAGGTTCCTACGTGTCAGGATGTTGATCTTTAAGGTTCTGAGCTGAGTGACGAATGTATTGATTTTACAATAACGCGTGGTTTTTTTTTTTATGGATGTGTACAACACGATAAATAATTGAAAAATGTTACGATTTTTAACATTATGTGTGGTTTTTCATAACAAATTGAATTTAGTTTATAAAAAGAAATTCAAAATCCCTAGTACTTTTTAAAATAATCCGGAAAAACAAATAGAAAAATTTCAAAACTTGAGCATAAAAAATAATTTTTTAATTTTCGCAATTTTTATGAATTTTGTTAAGCATCTAATTTAATAAATGCTTATAAAAAAATTTCTAACTAAAGATTTTTGATATTTTTTTAGATTAGAAATTATTTACTTTGATTTAAATTTTCAAGCATTTTACATAGAAATTTTTGGTGAATATTTCTAGGAAAAAAGCCAAAAAAAAAAAAAAAAAATGAAAATATCTCATGCTTATACACATAGTTTAAATTTGTTTTTCTTTATTATTGTTACACGATCTGTAACTGTAAGCGTAATAAGAGTATGAGTTATATAACTGAAAAAAATTTTAACAACTCGATTGAAGAAGCCACCCATTGTTAATCTAAGAAATAGATGAAAAATTTTTGACATTTTTTCGTAAATAAAAAAACAATTCTTTAAGTATTTGGTGAAAATGTCAAGTATTTATATACGGTTATTCGTTTTTAAGTTACACTAAAAAAATAAAATATATATTGTCAAAATTGGATTTGCATGAAAATCCTTATTTTTTATCACGTTCTTAAAATTAAATTTTGGAATTTTTTTACTTTGTGCTCTCGAAAATACCTACTGAATCCTACTTTTCACCAGACACCACCCCTATTTTTACAAATCAAAGCATTGTTTCCTCTGTAAAAAATATTAACTGACGCAAAAAAAAAAGGTCAATGTAAAATTAATAATACATCCATCGCTCCGCTCAGAATCTAAAATATGACACAATATTCCTAATATTAAAATTTATCTGCAAGCAATAAAAAAAAAAAAAAATCATTCTGGTTTTTCATAAGCATTTCAAGTTTAATTTTTTACGATCTTTGATATTATTTACTTGTAAAATGAAGATTTCTCCTCAAACGATTTTTGATTTTTGATATTTTGTTGTAATTCAAAAACGAAGAAACATAGATGTTTAAAATTTTCACAAAATGTGTACTTAATCACTTTCTGTACATAATATTATTTTAACTTTTTTGAGTTCTTCATAATCATTTTCAATTATTTTTAGTTTTATTCCTTTGAATGTCATTCAAAATTTTCGCGTGAAAAAAAACTTGATAATTTTAAAACATTCCGCATCGGTTTTTCTTTTTGATATACTAAAATATTTAGAATTCATAAAATCAACTTATTTTAAAAAGCATTTGAAGTTATAATTTTAACAAAATTTGTCAAAATCACAAAAAATTATAAAATGTTCAATTTTTTTAACTAAGGCTAAAAATTTAATACGAAATTGTTAACATGTGTTCATACTAAAACCAAAAAATATATGAAAATAGTTTTTTTTTTTTTTTTATGGACATTTTAATTTCAAATTTGAATGGAATTACATAGTTAAACAATGAATAATGATAGTCATTATCTTGTCATAATTTAAATACATTATTCATGATAACTAAAAACTTATCGCGATTTTATGATTTTTATTATAATATTATTCAATAACATTTTCAAAATAAATAGATTAATTAATAGATAATATTCACTTATTTATACTATGACAAGGTGAATAGTCTTACAGTAAAGTGATGTCGACTTAAAAATTAATAACAAAATTTTTTTTAACAACAAAAAAAAAAAAACAATGAGAAATCTACTAAATAACATTTACATGAATGAAATATTGCAAATGATTCATTACATAAACATTATAACAATTTGTTAATACTAATTTATATTCATATAGCCCATATAGGTAAAAATAAAATTATACATTTTTTGAATTATATAAAAATATTATATACGATAACGCCATCTAGCAAGTGAACTAATCATAAACTCCCTAAAATTGATTAAAAATTCGCCCACTAGATAACGAAATCATTTATGATTTTTTTGTTAATGCAAATAATGAACAATTTTATTTTTACGTTAATTATCAATAAAAATTAAATAAATGAACATGTTGACTGCCATAACACCGTCGTCAGTTACATCGTATCATTCATAGGTAGCCATACGATCGCCAGCTACTTAAAATTCAATATAGTTTTAAATAATAATAAATGAATAATAATTGTCGTTGAAATTATATACTTTAAATTCATAGTACCTTTTCATACTGTGGCAAAAAGGAGGAAATCACTATTTAATCAATATTTTGCATACCATTTTACGATATCTTAAATCATAATATTATCATACTCTGATTAAATATCAAATTAAAATATAATACAAATTACAATTAATTAAAAACTTTCAAAATACATTTTTCGTTCTACTAAAACGCTATGATTGAAATATTATAAGATCGTCAAAAATCGTATTTTATAAAATTAAAAATATCTTACAATTATAATTACAGTTTAAAATATTAAAGTTTCAGAACAAAATGACCTATGTGAGGATATACGTAAAACAAAATAACCTATGAGGTATCGAAATTCGTAGACATTTAATAAAGCTCTAAGCAGGGTCGGACTAGCCCGGACCATAGATCGCGGACGGGCCCCCGGCTAGTTTGGAATGTTTGGACCCCCAAACTTCATGTTCATATTTTAAATGTAAATAAGATTATCATTTATTCAAACATATCTTAACACTTTTAATGGTTCCTTATTGATCTTAGATTTATAAAATAAAATTAATATTATCTAACAACTGAATTGTAATAATAATTAATAGTAATATAATAATTGCTTGCGGGTCGTTCGACCACACGGCGTACCCGCGTATACACACACACACACATCAATTAATATAGTTAAGCTTAGATAAACGATTTATAAGTAATTCAAAATTACTAAATGATTGTATTTGCTTAGTTTTTTATTAATTGTAATTCAATAAAAAATGAAGTACATGCAAATACTTTACTAGAACTTTCAATTTTAACAAATATTGATAGAAACACACTTGCATATGAATTAGAACAATTTGATTTACATATTAATCCCATTACTAAAACATTTAAAGATACTTTCACATTTTTAACTGAAGTCTCCCAAATTCCTATTTATGAACATGAACTAGATTTATATCAAGACCAAGCATCTGAAATTGATCCATCCAACAATTGTAAAACATGTTATAACTATTTACGGTGTACTTTCAATGTGTTACATAATATAGTTCAACAGTCTGATTGTTTTAATAATATATATTATGCATATAAATTTGTATTAAAATTGCCATGTACTTAAGTTACTTGTGAAAGAATCTTTTCAAAATTAAAAAAATATTAAAACAAAATTAAGATCAGCTATTTCCCAAGAAACAATGGAAGCATTGTTATTGATGAATATTGAAAGAAATTTTGAAATTGATAAAGATAGTGTAATTGATATTATTGGAAAGAGTTCTAATGAATTTTTAAAACTGTTGTTTTAAAGTTGAATTATAAATTGAATTGTAATTTTAAATTTTAACTAGCCATTAATTTAAGTGTTTTAATTATTCAAATTAAAATGTTTATTAATTATTATCATATATCATTTAAGTATTGTTTCATGTTTGTTAGGTCAAACAAATTATTATAAATAATAATTTTATAGTATCTATATTATTTAGTATTTGAATAAAATACTTAACTTTTATGTAATTTAATATGTATTTTATTTTCATTTCATATAATAACTATCTTATTTAAATATAAAAATATAGAAGAAGAGGACGGAGATAACAATTTTTAGCCTAACCACTCTAACCCTAGCAAGGGCCCTTTGATAAGATCGCAGATTGGGCTTTTTGACGCCAGTCCGACTCTGGCTCTGATTGTATAAAAGGCAATTATTTAAATGAAAAATGTATTTGTATTATTTGTAATCATAACACTTGAAAATACTCAATAGTTTTCTGAGAAAAACTGACGAATAAAATATTAATTATTTTCTTCGAGTATTCCAAGTAGAATATACAATAGTATATAAACGGTGGAAATTTAAAAAAAGTTACTCATTGCACGATTATACTAGCAGTCTACAATACAGATTATTGTTTTATTTTATAGTACTTTTTAACAAAATAATTGCAATAATGGCAAGAGTTTTAATTTTATTGTCGGTCATCTTGTTCAGTGTCTATATGACAGAACAAGCATACTTTTTGGAAAAAGACCACATCGACCAAATCAACGAAAAAGTAACAACATGGAAGGTAAATTTTACAACATATATTTAATATTTTTAGTTGTATTTATATTTATTAATTACTTATACTAAGCATTACGCGTTAAGGTTAATTTATGCTCAATTTCAATTATTTTTTTTGCATCACATATTTGACATTCATACATGATTATACTCTATTAATCTAATACTTTTTATTTTCTAGATAATAAAGTATCTAAAAACTAATTAAGTTTAAAATTAGGAACTTCCAATTAGGTACATGCAAATTATAATAAAATATAATAAAACAAATAAGTATTTATTGGTAAATGATTATTTAAGCCCACATTACTTTTTTTAATTAAATTAGGTACTCGTATCATACATATTTTTAATTCTGATAGTTTATCGATTAGACATAGAGAGAATACACATATATAGACTAAAAGAGATCTATTTCTATTTTATATCAATAACATCATAAACTATATTTTTTTTACACATGATACATTTATAAATTATATTTTAAATATTTTAACTCATTTTAATTAAAAAATTATTCATAGAAACTTAGTAAATTATGAGCTCTAATGCAAAAAAACAAATTCATTGTTCTGCTGTATAATTAATTTAATCTAAATTACACTCTTTATGATTCATTGAGTAGATCACTGTAATGAAATTTAAGTTCAATGATAGTTATTGCATACTCATTGATTCAGAACAGAAACGATATATTATATTTATTCAGTATTTAAATTAATATAAAATAAAAAAATTATAAAGTATTTTCGATTTATGTTTATTTACCTATTTTAATTAGGCTGGTATCAACTTCGATCCTTCTACACTAAAAGACGACATTTTAAGACTTCTGGGATCTAAAGGTGTACAAAGTCCAGACAAACTTGACCACAAAATGTACAAATCAGAAGACGAGGAATACGATAATTTGTTCGGCAGAATTCCAAAAAAATTTGACGCGAGGAAAAAATGGAAACATTGTACAACTATTGGACGAGTCCGAGACCAAGGAAATTGTGGATCGTGTTGGGTATGTTTGTATATATTATATAATACGTAAAAATTATTTTTACTTAACTATATATATATATATATATATATAAATGACAAAAGTATAAAATTCATTTAACTGAATATCTATCTTACAGGCATTATCAACAAGCTCGGCGTTTGCTGACCGTCTTTGTATAGCTACAAATGGAGATTTCAATGAACTATTATCTGCAGAAGAAATAACTTTCTGCTGTCATTTGTGTGGGTTTGGCTGTCATGGAGGATACCCAATAAAAGCATGGGAACGTTTTAAGAAACACGGTCTTGTCACAGGAGGAGATTATGAATCAGGAGAGGTAACCAGTTATTAAATAGGAAGTACTTTTATATACGTCAATTTATTTTATTATTCGTATATTTTTAGGGCTGTGAACCATACAGAGTTTCTCCTTGCCCATTAGACGAACAAGGAAATAATACTTGCGCTGGAAAACCGATGGAAAAAAATCACAGATGCAAGAGAAAGTGTTACGGAGATCAAGACATTGATTTTAAAAGCGATCACAGATACAGTACGGTTTCTTCAGATATAATATTATTATATCAATAGCAATTATTAAATCTAATTTGTTTTTAAACTATTAAAAAATTATGATTTCAGCAAGAGATTATTATCGCCTTACATACTCAAGTATCCAAAAGGACCTTATGACTTATGGTCCCATTGAAGCATCTTTCGACGTGTATGATGATTTCCCCAGTTACAAATCAGGTAAATTAATATTACTTGTAACGAAGTTTTGCATTGTTTATACTTAAATTCTTGTTTAAATTGCTTATTGAAATTTCTGAACTAGTTGTCATAAATATTATTATTTTTAGGAGTCTACATTAAATCAGAAAATGCAACATATTTAGGAGGACACGCGGTAAAATTAATTGGATGGGGTGAAGAATACGGAGTCCCATATTGGTTGTTGGTTAACTCGTGGAACGAAGAATGGGGTGACAATGGTCTTTTCAAAATTCGAAGAGGTACAAATGAATGTAACATTGACAATTCGACTACTGCAGGTGTACCAGAAGTTTATTAAGTGTATCATTAATATTAACAATGTTAAATATTATATAATGAAATAAAATCAATTTTTATTGTTTTATATCTTTTTTTTTTTTTTTTATCTACTATTATAGAAATAATTCTTTACGTATTGATACACAACAATCCTTATTATTATGATTTTAAATACTAAATATAAAATTAAAATATTAAATCAATAATTGAATGGTTACCTATTAACTTTGCTTTAACTTCATAACCATAACATTCTATATTTTGGATATTCAATTAATTTTTATATGGTACATACTAAAAACTTTTTTTTTTTTTTTTTTCATTGAAAATCACTACATGAGGGCCGAACTGTTTTCACATTGCTTAACCCAACATACATACTATACACCTTAAACAAAGTATTTCACTTTGTTTTTATTAGTGTTTTAGCGTTTAAAGTCGAAGTTTAAAATATTGTTTCTTATATTTATGATTATCGTAGACGTGTTGCTAGCCAACATTTTTATTTCATAAACCGGTAACATTAATCGTATTTTTAAAATGTATGGTTTTTTTAAAAACTTCAGTATGATTAATATTATACATATCCATAAAACGGCAATGGACTACACAATGAGCAAACCAAAATAAATTGTACCTACTTAATTTTTAAAATCACGTAAAAAGTTTTTTCATATTTATTTCTAAATTTACAATGTACTAAAAAAATAGTAAACTTTTCGAATCACGTGTCAAAATTGATTTTTAATTCATTTATACAACTATATAAATATATAATATGTATACTAAATATATTAATTATTATTAAATAATACTATTGCATTATTTTTTATTAAACATACAATGTTCGTAAAGCTTCATATTTAAATATTTTATTATTTGTATTTGATTTATTTTGTAATAAATGTTTAAAAATAAATCCGAAATTTTTGGCCCCATCGAGCAATACTCAGCTTTGTACCCATCTATAAGATTTATTATATTAATTAAATGTCATCAAAAACTTTTTAAATACTTCATTAAAAATTGAAATCTCTAAGCCAAGTATTCTCCTTAATGGACAATATATGCTAAATTTTATATAAATTATAAAATATTAACACTTTAATATTATTAAACTCACCTCCGGATGATAGTTTATGCTTTCCAGTGGTCTCCGGTACATGTTTTGATCTTGTAACGATACATCGATAGTCCAGTTTTATCCATTGCCATTAACCTCTTGTGTTCATGCTCGTGTGTTGCTGCAAGGAGCACAAAGTATCCACCACTAATAGTATTTAAATTACCAGGAATTTTTACACGCTGAATGGATACTGTAAATACAAATATATTTTAATCTATCAAGTGTAAGTGATACACATTCATGGTAAAGTATATAGTTATTCAGTACTAGGTATTGCATTGCATTGACTCTTGAGACAGTTCATGAATTTCCATGATAACATAAAATAATATTTTAACTGTGTAAAATTATTTAATACAACGATATTAAATAAAATGATAATGTTTCATTTGATTTATCAAATTACTCGTCTGCGTAATGGAAATGAACTGGTATTATTTTGCCTTTATTTTGCTGGAACTTGGAAATGAGTTTTGTCAACAGATAACCTACATAGAAC